GAGTTGGACACGACTGAGCGACTGAACTGAACTGAACCCCTCTTGACTGGCTAGAGGGGAAACGCCTGGCCCGAGGTTAGAGCCAAGGTTCACATGCGGGTACTGCCGGTTTCCAAGTCCAAGGCGCTCTCTGCACCGCACCGCCCAGAACATCCCCTGCATACCACCCCCACCCCAGCAGGTGGCCTGACCCACAGCACGTGCTCCCCACTCTTGGGCAGGTGAGTCGGGGATGACCTGCAGAGCATCAGGGCGTGGATGGTACTCCAGGGCCCTGGTCCGCGTGGTCCCTGTGGTTCCATGGAGCAGGGGAGTGTTCATGCATCACTTGGGGCACAGCATCAAGTCCCTCTGGGACCAGGCCTATTTTTCTTTGCTGATGTGACCCCACGTGATCTCAGACCTCAGGAGCTATTTAATCCGAATGCGCCTGATGGCCTTATTTCTAACTCAGTGTCTACACTCCCTGCCCACTAGAAGGATCAGCAGACTAGCAAGGACTCAGTCAGTGGCAGGTCTATAAAAACAACAGAGGGCAAACCAAAAAGAACACGCCAACAAGTGGAAATTACGCAGCACATGCTGCCACCGGTCCTGAGATGGACAGGGTGCAACCAAGATGACCCAAGACCCCAGGAGGCACTGATGTCACTCTGACTTCCACGGGGCAAGTCAACGTGGAAGAAAATTTATCTCAACTTAATTTCCAATAAAGCTTTTAGAAATGGAAGTCTTTCTCCATGAGACACTAGAACCAGACAGTATGTGGTCTAAGGCTGGATCCCAGTGTCTCTGAGAGCTGGTGACATCACCACAACCAGAACCCAGCCCGCTGTCTCCATCAGTGATCATGCCGTCCGTATGCTACATGCCTAATCCCCAGGAAACGAACACAGACGGGACTAATGCTGAACAGGAGATTTCTCCCTGACACAGCAAAGGACCCAAGAGAAATCAGCGTGTGAGTGCCTGCCCTAAGACACGTGTGTGGATAGTTGCAGCAGCTTTATTCATAAGCAAGAGATCAGAAACCCCGCAAGTGCCCATCAGAACAGAACGCGCTGGGGAAGAGTCACGCAGTGAATGACTACAGAGCAAAGCAACGCAAGAGCTGCGGGTCGTGCCATGAGTGGGCAAAGAACCCAGGCGCCGCAGCACCACGGGAGACAGAAGCGAAGGGACACGCACGCCAAACCAACTCCCTATGCCTGCGAGCGGTTCCAGGACTCAGGGAGAGTCAGAACGGCAGTCATCACCAGGAGGCAGTGCCTGGGAAGGGGCAGGAGGCAATTCCAGGTCTGGCAGTGGTCAATATTTTCATCAAGGAGGTCGTCATCCGGGTGTGGACAGACGATTCACTGATCTCAGGATGGGCCACGTCATTTGAAAGATCTAGTGCAAATTGAAAATATGGGTCTCTTGGGAGTACACTTTATGCGCTTTAGTTTAATAAAAAAGCAAAAACAGACACGTATAGAATCAGAAGGAAAGAAATCTTGATTTGGGAGGCTATTGGAGAAGGGACTGATTTTTTTAAAAAAAGACCTCTCCCCAAATCTTTCCTTTATGTCTTTTCTGTTTGACTTGACGGGGTTCATTTCCTAGTGAGCTGGCCAGGACAGCCTTCTGAAACTTGTTAGAAAGGCTTATTTGAAGAAGCGCTAAATCAAGTTGAAACGTACATGAGAAATTTATATTCGTATTTAACTCAGGTGGGCTTCAGAAGGAGTAGGGCGGCCAGGAAGGACAGGACCCTTTCCTGATGTGACCAAGATTCTTGCCCTGAGCACGTTGAGAGAGAGAGAGAGCTCCCAGAGTACAGACAGGGACATAGCCCGGCTTTTAGGGGTGCAGAGGAATGAATGATGGGCCCCCTCACTCAGGGTCACCCAGGGACACTGCGGCAGAAGCTCCTAGGGCTTTGGAGGATCAGAGTCAAACTTCACACTCCTCCCCTATCAGTTATCCCACCACCGACTCCCGCCCTAGGTCACGAGTAGCTTAACCTTAGGGCACAGTGTAAGTCTCTATGTCTTGGTCATCTCATCCCAAAACCAGAACCACAGCAATGAAAACTATTCCTTGTCACGGAGCGGCATTACATCAATGCATTATATACATGACCTCATGTGAGCTTCACAACCAACTCACCAGAGGGTACTGAGAGGTCATCTGCTTTTGGCAAATATGTGAACTGAGGCACAGGAAGGTTAAGGAGCAAAGTCACACAGCCAGTGAAGAGCCGGGCAGAGGTTTAAACTTAGGTATCTTGGCTATAAAGAAAGCTGAGTCCTGAAGAATTGATGCCTTTGAACTGTGGTGTTGGAAAACTCTTGAGAGTCCCTTGGACTGCAAGGAGATCCAACCAGTCAATCCTAAAGGAAATCAGTACTGAATATTCATTGAAAGGACTGATGCTGAAGCGGAAGCTCCAATACTTTGGCCACCTGATGTGAAGAACTGACTCATGGAAAAGACCCTGACGCTGGGAAAGATTGAGGGCAGAAGGAGGAGGGGGTGACAGAGGATGAGATGGTTGGATGGCATACCAGCTCAATGGACATGAGTTTGAGCAAGCTCTGGGTGCTGGTGATAGATAGGGAGGCCTATCATGCTGCAGTCCATGGGGTCTCAAAGAGTCGGACATGACTGAGTGACTGAACGGAGCTGAACTGATCTTGGCTGCAGAATCTGTGTTCCTAACCACTCCACTGTCCTCTTTAGGGGATATATGGAGGGAAACAGTAAGTTTCCCATTTCCTAAGTAAAGTGGTCTGCAATGTGGCTGGAACTCAAATTTAACAATGACCTATTTTCTTCCTTTTCTCTGAAGTTCGATGGTGCTGTGGCTTCATTTAACCACCCCAGCTCAGAATTTAATTAAGAAGGGACAGCCCAGAAAGGTTAAGTAATTAGCCCAAGGTCACACAGCCTGTGTATACTGAGGCTGAGAACATAATCAAGCGTTTCATATTTTACCCCAGGGAGATTCATGACTTTCTACTGGGGCCTACATGTCACTTAATTTCAAATTCCCTTTTCTTCTGTAATTTGGTGAGAACTTTTTTCTTTCTCAAGCTTGATGATCACGGCTGCTTCTAGAGCTGCAAATTAATGAATGTGGACCTAATCTTGGTTTGGATTTATTTACATCTTCCATAAATCATATTTATTGAGTGCCTGGGGTGTACAAGGCATTGGGAGCAGTCCCACACATTAAGGCAAGGAAGAAATAAACATTACAGACACTTGGTGTATACTGCAGACTACTTAAATATCCAACAGCATCAAATAAATCATTGGACTGTTTAGAAACAGGCTCTGGCATGCTCCCTGCAAAGTGTCATACAAAACCCCCAAACTGTGCAACCTGGAAGGAGGGCTAGGTCTCCGCGTGGCACTGGGAACATTTGTTAACGTGAGTGAGTGGGTCAGAGGGCCTGGAGTCAGCTGTGTTTTGGAGTCTGGGGATACTGTGGCCTCTGTTTCAGTCTCCCTACTCAGACGGACATCTTCAAACCAGTAATAAAAAGAAATGGAGTCATAAAGCACGGGCAGCTTACAATCTGCAATTTAGTTGACCCAATGCAGAAACAAGCTGTGTACCATATCTTTAAAGGTGTTGAGAACACGGCTGTTGGAAATGAAGCTGGAGAGCTACAGGTGCCCACACACAGGTGCACATACATACAAACACAAGGGCCACCCCGCCTCCTGCCCAGCAAACCCTTCTACGCAGACACAAAACTGCTTCCTATGGCTCAGAGTATGGCCAGCTCCCATTACGAGTTCAAATCAAATGGATGTGCTTCAGACAAACCTCCTGTAGGTGAGAGGTTATTCAACAGGGATTATTTTCGAGCCTCACAGAACAATCTCATAGAAAACAAAGACAGGAGCACAGTCTTTGTACTCTAGAAATTGTCGGGGTTTAGAAGCGAAGCAAGGAAGAAGCAAAAGAAAGAAGGAGAGAAAAAATGAAGGAGGGTGGAGGGGAGAGGAGCAGGAGAGGTAGGAAAGAGGAAGAGAGAATGGGGAGATAGAGATGTATCACCTATATGGATGTGAATCTTGACTTGCCTGTTGCCAACCACATACACCTGGGTCACTTGCCTCCATCTGCATCTTGAGTACTCTATTTTAGAAAAGGAAAAATCCTAATGATTTCTCACAGAGGTGGCATGGACTGGATGCTCAGAGTGGCTAAGCTGTCCATCCAGACCCACACTCTCCCTTCCACAATATGGAGCAACCACCAGGAAAACACATGCTCACCCCCTCTCTTCTAGCCAGATATGGCCCCGGGACAAAAGGATGTGGGTGGACGTATTCTGGGTTACGCCCAGGTCAAGATGCTTCAGCTGAGCATGTCTGCTCCATGCCCTCCTCCCCTCCTACTGGTTGGGGGTGGATGCCACTGAGGCCCCAGTGTATGATGGAAGCATGAGACAAGAGGAGCCAGAGTCCCTGAGTCACTGCGTGGAAGACAGCCACTCTCCACTGGGGACCCTGAACGGACTCCTCCAGGAGGGAGAGATCCCGTGCTGAGCCACTGAGACTGCAGAGCTTATTTGTTACGGCAGCTGACACTCTCCTGATGCAAACGGCAGGCATGCATAACATTATAACAAATAGCACGCACTTAAAAGGCACCAGATGAGGGAGAAATGCAGTTCATCTGCTTTTAGCATTTTCTTTTTAAGGAAAAGGGGCAAAGTCCAATTTTTAGAAGACTGTTTTTCCACCAGTGTCTTTGGAAGAACCTCTTCCATTGAGCAGCCCCTAACAAGATTACCTCTTTGAGGTGTTGGGGGGAATAAAGCCAAGGCCAGGTTTCTCTCTTCCCCATCCCCCCCCCCCACCTCCTTCAAAGCATCCTGTCAAGTTCTAACTGCCATCATTTAGCAAGTTCTCCCATTTAAAAAAGTTACCATCGACTCACCATCCCGGTGAAGCTGTCAGTTGCTCAGGAGTGGAACACGGCCAACTGATTAGTTTTGATGGACTGCGGTGTGGAAATGCAGTCTCTGTCGGTGAAGTGCCTGTTCATCCAATTAACCAAATTACTATGGGGAGCTCTGGCCGAGGGCAACGCCAGTGGACGGCTGCTGGGGAGGTCAGGGAGGGGACCGAGTCAAATGCCTGCCCCTCCTCCCCTGTCCACAGGCCAGAGAGAGCTGTCGGCAGAGCCAGAGGAGCAGACCCACCCGTCCCCTTTCCTGCCTAGAGTGAACACGTCCGTCTGGCTTTTTGCAAGGGTGTCTCAGTGGATTTTCTGTTTTTGTTGTTGCTTTTTGTTTTTAACTGAAGTATAGTTGATTTACAGTGTTGTGTTAGTTTTAAGTATAAAGCAAAGTGATTTAGTTAGACATATATATATATATATATCTGCATTCTACATACAGCTATTCTATTTCAAATGCTTTTCCCTTATAGATTATTACAAGATATTGTAAGATTACAATTACAATTATTACAAGATATTGATTAAACTTTTCTGGGCTATATAGTAGATCCTTGTTCATTTCATGTATAGCAGTGTGTACATGTTAATCCCAAATTCCTAATTTATCCCCACGCACCCTGGCTTCTTCTCCCTTTGATAACTTTAAGTTTGTTTTCTATGTCTTTGGGTTGATTTCTGTTTTGTAAATAGTTGATTTAGATCTATTTTTTTTTTTAAGATTCCACATATAAGTGATATCATATGACATTTGTCTTCCTCTGTCTGACTTGCCTCCCTTAGCAGGATAATCTCTAGGCTACACGTTGCTGCAAATGAGTTTCATTCTTTTTGTATGGCTGTCTCAGTGTTATCCTCATCATCAGTAGTGATGCTATTTTTCATCTAATCCGCTGACACCTACTTCTAAGGCACCCACTCTGCGCCAGGCGCAGTGCTTGGAGCTGCCAATACGTAGAGGACACAGCAGCTGAGGCGGCCCTCCTGGAATTGGCGTCCACACCGGGAGAGGAACAGCACAATCCGTCAACCTCAACTCGACTGGCTCTTGGGACCGGGTCATTCCCTGTGGTGGGGGCTGGCCTGGGAACCCACGAGACGCCTGCAGTACCCTCCCTCGAGCCGCGACAGCCGGAATCATCTCAAGACACCAGCTGTCCTCTGTCACACACAGCCAGGGCAGCTAGGCGACCACTGAGCTGGCCTCAGAAAAGAAGAAAGGCAGTCGAGGCCTGTCAGGGTAAGCGGTGCAGGAATGGAGGCACGCTCAGGCCCCTCTGGGTGACACACGCCCGCCATCAGGGCGGCGGGTCCCGGGGCCGCACGTCTGGGAGCCAGACGAGCTCTGATCCGCTGGGGAACACGGCGAGGACCCCGTATGTGTGCTCCTGCCCCTCACGTCTCGTCGTTTGCCGGCAGTGGTTCACAGGAGCGGACACCTTTCAGGGCTCTGCACACAGCATCTTGACTCGATCACCTTGACTGAATGGTCTCTCCAGGAGTGATGGGACAAACAAATCTGTGACCAGGCAATTGTGTCACATTGTTGAAACCCACATACGTGTAGGTTACCCTTCAGATGTTCCGCAGAGTCTCGAAAAAGTACACATGCAGAGTCTCGAAAAAGTACACACGCTAACCCTAACTGTAAGTGGAAACATTTTTTTTTTTTCATTAGGCTTGAAAACAGATGGCTTGATCTGTATCATTATTTGTGTCGGTTGCATCGATACTTCCCTGGGCTTAGAGACATGCATAAAGGGGCTGTCGTGAATGCAAATTTTGTGGTTGAGGCCATTTATATTATCAAACTCCTGACTTTTCAATCAATAATCTTTCAAACGCCATCTGGATTATGTCTCTCTTTGGATTATTTATGAGAATTCTTTCTGCTACAAACAGGATGGCAGATTCGCCTGTCTTTGGCAACAGGTCTGCAAGTTTCTAAATGGCTTGTTGACTTGGTCTATTTCCCACAACCTCCACCAGCACACACTGTTTTTTTTCCTTCCTTTCTAGGTTGGTATAGTGACATGTAAGACAACCTCAGGGTGTGGTTCTGCCAGTAAAAAGAAGAAAACTGTACTTCCTTGGTGAAATCAATCTGAGGCTTGCATTTATAGGTCCCCTGAAAACTTTGCAATATTCACATGTGTTCACTAGACCCCGGCTCGGTGTCCCCTGCCCACCACAGGGGAATGGTACCCGTGACCTTGAGGATGCTTCTGAGGACTGATGGGAGAAATTCCCTGACACTCCTGTTAGAAAGAAGCTCGTGTTTGCTCAATGCCTTAACCACTCAGCTTCTCCAGGAGGGATGAACCATGCATCCTCACTTTTCAACAACCCAGGAGGTAGGAATCCTAATACCTGTTTTGCAGGTGAGAAAACTGAAGCCGCAGGGCAGTTAAATAACTCACCCAAGGCTATGGGAATAGTCGTCTTGGCTGAGGGAGACCGAACCCGGGTCACGGACATCTTTCAGAGCCGTGCTCACCAAAGTGCCCTTTTGATACGAATCTCCCTGGGTCCAGGTTAGACATATCGTGCACTGTCCAGAGTACGTTTGATAGGTTTGATCGAGAAAAGGAGTGGTCTTCAAAGTTATGCTCATCGTTATCATCATTCACCATACACGACCAGGACAGGAGGTGACTGCAGTTCAAAAGGTAGAATTCTGTGTCCCATTCCAGACTGTTAGGCATGAGATACCTAATGGAGGGACTTGGACATGGTCTGTTTAGTAAGTCTCCCAGATGATACTCATCGTTGCTGAGTGAAGCCTGAACCACGGGTTGGCTACTTCAGAATCAGCTGGGGAGCTTATTAAAGTACTATTTGGGGGATCTGCTGCCCTTGTGTATTTACACTTGGGAGTCTGGTCTGGGGCACAGAATTTTGCCTTCTCAACAAGGGTTTCTGATATTCTTGCTAAATGAAAGAGTCGTTATTATCAACAGAGACTGATTTTGAAAGGCAGCCTTCTGCTTTGTTATATATGGGGAGGAAGGGAAATCTTTATCTTACCTCTTTTTAAAAACAAGGTGTTACATTTTTTTGTGAAGAAATGAATCAAAAAGAAGGAACACCCTCTGCCCCTCCCTGGCCGTTGTGTGACTTTGGGGCAAATTCTTTACTTCTCTGTGCCCTATTTTACTCATGTTTACAACGGAAATAGCAACACGAATATCCAAGTTTAACTGGCTAACATATAACTGACTTAGAATCATGCTAAGTCTATAGGCAGAGCTCATTGAACAAAACCACCGTGATGATTTTTACCTGCACTTGGTTTTTCCCAACCTGTTTTGCAATTTTAGTCTTTTTTTCTCATCACATAGATGGATGCTATTGTTTAGTTGCTAAGCCATGTCTGACTCTTTTGTGACCCCATGCACTGTAGCCCACCAGGCTTCTCTGTCCATGGGATTTCCCAGGCAAGAATACTGGAGTGGGTTGCCATTTCCTTCTCCTGGGGATCTTCCCCACCCAGGGATGGAACCCGTGTCTCCTGCATTGCAGGTGGCTTCTTCAACACTGAGCCCACATATCTATGTGGGAAGTCCACATAGATAGTATTGTATCTGATTACAATATAATATGTTTTCCAACTCTTAAACCACTATATGGCCACCTGACACTTGGCTACCTATGGTCACTCTGCTCAAAACCAATTTTGTGCAATTTTTCTTATTCCCTCTAACTTCATCCTAAAATGTAAAAGGCATAAGAACTTGCTAAAACAATGATGTGCTTGGGGAACACATGTACACCCATGGCTTATTCATGTGAATGTATGGTAAAAACCACTACAATATTTTAAAGTAATTAGCTTCCAATTAAAATTTAAAAAAAGATTTTTGCTTATCTAATAATGCCTTTAGAAACATGGCATTTAAAATTAAATCAAAAGATTCTTGTTTCCCAATCAAAAATATATAAACTTTTACATTGTTATATATTTGCCTCTGTAACCTTTTGCAGAAATCCATTTGCGTTACTTTTATTAAAAATACTTATTAAACTCAAAAAAATAAATAAAATAATGATGTGCTGAAAAAGAGTAATAATTGGATTCTGAAACAGAAAAAGATGTCACTTAAAAGATTTCTTCAACATGCTTTATAATGACTGTATAATATGCCATTGGAATACTTCAGTTTTCCAATTCTGTACTGCTGGGTACTTAGGTAGCCTTGCTGTTTGGATACTATTATTATTCACTGATTTGCTTTAATTAGCTATGATAATTTTCTCAAAATAAAGTCAAAAGAATGACTTTGAATTTGGTAAATTTATTTCAGTTAGGATTAGAGCCTGAAAGATAAGTAAGTAACACATGCCCCACACTGCTCTGACTCAGGACTCACCCTTTGTAACGCTCTCTTGCACCCCAATCAGTTCTAAGGAAAAACAGGGCCAAGAATTGGCTAAAATGAATACTTGCTCAACTGTAAAAAAAAAATAATACTCTGAAAACAGAAAAAAATAGGTCACTCTTTGTTTAATGGCAAAGAGCTACAAAAAGTCTTTCTCTTTCATGTTGAAATCCAAGTAATTCCATCTGAGGCTTTAGTCTTCAAATTCAAGGAAGAAAGAGAGATTTTTTAAGCTGAGGATGGACTGTTTCTGTCTTATACTGTATGGTCAAAAAAAAAAAATTGTCACAGCAGATCTAAACTACACTAAAGAAGACGTGTGTCTTCTTCCTGCCTATGTGTATCCTAATACCCCATAGGAATAGTATCTACTTATAATACTACAGATTTATGATAGACAGAGCCCGAAAACAATGCCGTACATTTCTGATGTTTAAACACCCAAATCTCATACTTTTGCATAGTTTGCATCCTAGGGAGATTTGACAAATGATGCTCTTAGTACTTGACAAGATTTAACCTGCTGTCAAAATAATCCTGGTAGGTTTTTTTTTTTTTTTTAAACTCACAAATGAAATAACACCAATAGCAGGACTCAGTGGAGTCTTAGAGGCACTCCTGGATGAATTCAAACTCCGCCATGTGGCCCCTTTGTGACCTCGAGCAAGTTCTAACCCCAGCATCCGGTGTGGATCTGGCCTGAGAGGGGTCTCGACAGACAGTCCCTGCTATCGTCCCAAATTGGCCAGGTGACATCATTGGCTGAGCTACCCGCAGCAACGCGGAACCTCGGTGTGGAAGACGGGTCCTTGCGAGAGGATGCTCCCCTTCCATTTTGACCTCAGCCGCGCAGATGAGCATCTGGGTGTGCAGAAGTGAGTGTGGGGGGGTGTGCAGAGTCCCGGGGGCTCCCTCTGCCAGGGCTCTGCCTTCCAATGAGCTCACCCCCGTCCCACCCAACGGGCCACTAATGGCGGAGCCGGAGATGCTGTGGAGCCGGAGATGCTGTTCATCACATTTGCATGGCATGTGAGAGTTGACGGAGAGCATCAGCTCCAAGCCCAGAGTGAAGCGGTCCCCTGGATCCCTTTTAATGGGCATCAGTGACTTTTGTCCTTGCACGGCTGGAGTACATCTTCCCTGACACTGCTCCCAGCCCTCCCTATTATCGAGAAAAGTTCCGGCCCTTCACACGCACCAAGCAGGGAACAAAAGCGGCGGGGGAAGTGTCAGAGAGACATCTGAGCTGGGTTTAAAAATGATATGCTGGCAGCCAGCTCTGCTGGGCTCGGGACAGGCTGGCCATTAGGAAGGTCCTCGGAGGTTGCATTAGCAGGCAAAATGCTGGCTCTGCTTGCCTGTGTCCCAGGTCCCCGAAGCTCCCCGGCCAGGAGCTTGGGGATCTCCTCTCTTAACTTTCTATCTGCCGCTCCCAAGTGGGTCACCATCATCCACTGGCGAACAATGGTTCCCGTATCCTGGCCAAAAACCACAGGTCAAACGTAATCACCCTTTTCTTTTACGTTGGAGCAAGAAGCCATCTGTAGAGATGTGTAATTTTTAAGTTAGGAAATGAGTGTAAACCCCCTCTTTCTTTCCTTTTCATATTGTCCTTTCAAGGATGTCTCTATTTGCATAGTTCGAGCCTCTTCCTCTCCATGGCACCAACATTAGCGTGACCTTTTCCTGCTAATTGGAAAAATCTTACGGAAATAAACCCTGTCAGAAAATGAGAAGTGACTCCCCCTCTGGATGGCCAAACGACCTCAGAGGGGGAAAGAAGTTCTGAATTCCTGTTCCTTTTGCACACACTGCAAAATCTTTATGACTTCGGAGAGCCCTGAAGCTCGGTAATGCCCCTCCAGTGCAAAGCGGAGTAAATAAATTTCTTCTTATGACCACTTTGGAGAAACACACAAGCAGATTTACTCAGCAGGGATAGATAGTGGACAGGATAATGAAGAGAGAATAAGAATATGATCGGGCTTTACAGCCTCTTCTGTCTCTTTAAAGGGTTTTAATCCTTCAGAAACAGGATACCGGGTCCATTGCCTTAAAGATACAGTATCCCTTCTGGGACGAGCTGTGTTATAAAAAGCTAAGATGTAACATCTATCTCGCAATATTGATTGGCACTTTAGTGTGATAAAAGGGGTTGAACCTGAAGGGGAAAAAAGGCAAAAAAAAGGTAAGCGGGAATTACTCTTTGAAGAATTCAAAGTGTCCCGATATTATTGGGCCAAACTTGAATGACGAAGAAACAAAAGCGCCCGCTGGGGCTGGGACAGTCATCGGTGGAAGTGGATGACGGGTGGGTTTCAGGGACAACTGATTCACCTCCGCCAGAAAATGACTGTTGTTTTAAAAGCAAGTCTGATGGTTCTGATGGGACGTTCTGATGATGCTCACGCTGACCCCAAATGAGTCAGGTCAGATGTTCTGATCCGCAGCCGCTGGCCCAAAGGGCAAGGACCTGCCTCTCAAGAGATGAGGAGAGTGTGCCAGCCGGTTCGCCTCGAGCCCCAGACTCACTGCAGTCAATTTTGGGGACACTCCTGTACATTCCCCCCAGGTTAGATAAACTGTTGCTCTCGCGTCTGGCATCATCATTGGCTCCTTTTCATGCAAATCAGGACACCTAAGCTGCACTGAGGGGCTTCCCACGTGGCTCACCGGTAAAGAATCCGCCTGCCAATGCAGGAGCCGCAGGTTCAATCCCTGGGTTGGGAAGATCCCCTGGAGAAGGAAGTGGCAACCCACTCCAGTGTTCTTGCCTGGGAGATCCCATGGGCAGAGGAGCTACAGTCCATGCGGTCACAAACAGTCAGACACGACCGAGGCTACTGAACAACACTGAGCTCTTACTACGCGTCAGGTCGTCTCCCTTAGTCCTCATGATAATTGCAGCGGCAAGGTTACTGACCCCAGCTCGCAGACCAGCAAAAGGAGGCTCAGAGAGGTCGTGCGTCTTGTCCATAGATTCCGAGCCAGGTCTGCCTGAATCTGAAATGCACACTCACCCTCCCAACCCCACATCATGCCCAGACCAGGCTCCTAAGAGGGACCTGAGACTGTGACTCCCCCGACACGCTCCATCCTTGCACAAGGCCCGTCGTCTCTGATTTACTCCATGTCGCCCACACGGTAGGGTGTTGAGCCCGAGGCCCGCAGCGTGCCCCTCCCATCCGGGTGTGACAACCCCAAGTGTTTTCCAGCATTGCCACATGCCGGGGTGTAGAGTACAAAGATGTTGGAAACCACTGAAATACGGAATAAGATGAGATGCCAGTATAAAGATGCAGTGTCTACAATGTGGGGCATGAAGGTACGTCATTACTGTAATTCAGTGTATGGAACCCTCGCCCTGTAACTAACATCAAGGGCAAGAGACGGAGAGAGAAGAGGAAGCAGATACCAGGCTCCTCTGACTCCACGTAACAAATCTAAGGGGGAGGCAGCGAGCTCTGAGTGGAAATGGTAAGATGCGCAAATTCGCAGAGACATTCTTCAAAGTGTGTTGAGGTTATGAGCCTGGCCGCGTTGTGTGCATAACTGCTACCCACACACTCGATGGCACAACTCTTACTACAGAAAGTGACCCCACGCTCATGAAGCTGGAGCTGAGATGACGGGAGGGGGGCTTGTCTGCTTAGGGACAGGATGTGTCAGCTCCGCCAGGAGAACTGCAGCCTCTATGTTGAGTGCCACCCCCACTAAGGGCTCTGTAAGCTGGGCCCTTATTTCTCTCCCTTTCCAGATGGGGCACTGAGGTTCTAGGAGGTGAGGATCTCAGCTGAGATCATCTAGTCTGTGGTAGAGCCAGGATGGAAATGAAAATCTTTCAGAGGATGGTCCTACCACCCTGGGCCTCCAAAGGGAAAGAGAAGTTGGCCCCCAACTCTTTATTTCTCACATCTCTCATGGATGGGAGTGACCATTCATCCATGTTCTCAGCCACTCTTCAGTTTTCTAGACTCATGAGGTCCAGGAAAGCTGGAGGATCCTTGTACAGCTCGTAGGGTGCCGTGGCCTACAAGAAGCCCAGGGAGGTGTGCGGGTGTGGAGATGCACACAGATCATCTAATGGCACGGTAAAGGGTGCAGGGCAGGCATGCAAGAGGAGCTTGTGGGCAAAAGAGATGGGGCAGGGGTCCCGGATACATGTGCGTGTCGACAACGGGTGCAAGGTGATGGTCACAGGTGCAAAATGGCACCTTCTTGGCCAAGGTGGGGGGTGGGAGCGGGTCAGGGATATTTCCCAGGAGAGGAAATGCCAACTGAGTTTTGAAGCAGAAAAAGCCCTGAGGTTCCAAAGAGAGGAGCAGAGAAGGTGTGGCCGGCACACGGGACCAGCGGGAGCAAAGGTCAGGTTTGGGAAGAGAGGCGGGACTGATGAGCACCCTGATCGCTGACTTCTCTCGCAGGAGTGAAAAGGGCTGGGCAGCGGGCGGGAAGGCCGCATCGCCCCCCGTCTGCGCCCATCTGTCCCAGCAAAGACGGTCCTTGGAAACAGCCAGGGTCTCACTGGTGTGTTTTCATCAGGTCTTTTCCACTTTTGAGTGGGATTTCTACGCCATCCCAGCGCCTAGGCCCACGGGAAAGACAAAGCTGTCTCAAAAGTAAGAGGAGTTAAATTTCTTCAAAGGGGCGAGGGACAAAAAAAGGGGGGGGGGACCCTACAAAATAAGCCGTGTGTATAAAAAATCCAGGAAGTGTCAGATCTGAGAAAAGAAAAAAAGACCGAGCAAACAGTGGGAGAGAGAACCCAGGCGCTGACAGAGGTCTGGGGAAAGAGGGGAAAAAATCCTGTTTGGGATACCATCAGAAATGGTTTCAAAACATTTTAAAACCAAAGTTGGCTCAAATATAAAAGATTTCTCCTCTCTTGATAAGATTACCTTTCCCCTCTTCAACCATTTCAACAGTGCTAAAATAATCTTGACTTTAGGACAGTTAATCCAAAGTATGTCTTCTTGAAGGATCCTTATTAAAACTCCTGCAGGCGCTGGTGGTGCTTGGAGCTGTCTCCCCAATATTTCACAAGCTTTCCTCCTGGAACATGCATCCCACGTTCTGAAAATAGAATCTGATCTCTGGCTTGAGTAGCTGATGGGCAGGGCGCTGAACTGTGGGCACGCAGGAGGTGGGGGAGACCTAGCCGAGACCCCGCTAGGGCTGGGATCGGGGTGTCCTCGGAGATAAAGCAAAGGCGTGACAGGAGGGTGCATGCCCAACCATCACTCTCCTGGCCTCTCAGTTCTTTCAAACGCTCAGAAGCCTCCACATTTAAGGGAGTCTTGTCCCAGTGGGACCAGCAGAACCCAGTGGAGTCCAGTGAGAACCCCAGGAGACAGAGCGGGGTAGTTCTGGATCCTTCCAGGGCTGGGGGACTCTGACACCACAGGGTAGAGACAGAAGAGTGCCTGGCGTTCGGTGCTGGAGGACCTGAGTTGGGGCCACGGATCCACCATCCCGTCTGCCGCCTCCTCCGTGAACTAAGTCCTATCTCCTTGTCATTTCCATGGTTAAAGGAGAAAAGCACCCAGTAGGGGACGCAAATATGATTTGTCTTAATCCAAACTGAAGTTGTTTCTAGCTTCCAACAGGAAGCAGTTGGAAAAAGCATGCCCAAGATTTTCATTATCACTCCTGTCGCCGTCCACACTGAACTCTGGAATGTGGCGGGAGAGATGCAGCTCAGAGCAGTCAAGCACCCTGCCTCCATCAAAGTGCCGATGGGGGGCTGGGGGCACCCTGCCTCCGTCAAAGTGCCGATGGGGAGCTGGGGGCACCCTGCCTCTGTCAGTGCTGATGGGGGGCTGGGGGTGGTGGCGGGGGAGACGGGAATGGGAGGGGCCCCGAGCAGTTAGTCCTCTGTTCACATTCCCAGAGAGGGAGAGGTTTTGGATTGAAATGACATGGGTTTCCAAGAAGGACCCCAGGAAACTAGCTTCTTACTGTTCTTTCCCACAGCTCCTGTTTCGAGGGAATTCTCCACACCCTGTTTCCTTCTCCTTGAAGCTACATCTCCCCACACATACATATTTATACACAAGCACATACATATAGAACACAAACACTTACACACACACAGGCAGGCATGCACACATACCATTGCATGCACCCTCATATGGGCTTCCCTGGTCGCTCAGATGGTAAAGAATCTGCCTGCAATGCGGGAGACCTGGGTCGGGAAGACCCCCTAGAGGAAGGAATGGCAACCCACTCCAGTGTTCTTGCCCGGAGCATCCTCATGAGCAGAGGAGCCTGGCGGGCTACACTCCATGGGGTCACAAAGAGTTGGACATGACTGAGCGATTTTCAACTTCAACATATGCGTTTATCTACATACTCACACATATGTACACATACATATGCACGCACACACACATGCACGGTCACTGTACTCACCAATGCTGGAATCCACAGTTACATACAACACACTTGCCCATGCACACTAGCTCACATACCTTCACACATGCACGCACAGCCAATGCCACAACTCATGGCGTGTCTCCAGATCCCCATTCTCTGTGCAGGCTCCCCAGTTCACCTGAACAGGAGGAAATCCTTAGACCACACCCTCATCTATTCAGATGCCTGACCCAGCCTGACCGCTTGCCTGGTTTTGTTGAAGCCGATGCCACTGGCCTTTCTGGGAGTACGTCTTTCACTAGCTCTTCAGCCATGGAACATTCATAACTTCGCATTAAGGGCACCCGAGGCTTGCTCCCTGCCTCCCCAACCCTCAGCCTTGGGGCTCACATTTCTGCCACTGGGGGCCACGTTCTCCACGGCATCACTCCTCCACGTCTCCGGATTTGTGTTTCCGCCTCTTCCTTGTCCACCTGGCAAGCTACATCTTGTTCCAGCGCCACTGGCTGGACAGTCACTCCCTGAGTGCTTCCCGCGTGCCAGATGCTGGGCTGGGTGTAGGTGTGTGGAGGGGGAGATGGAGAGAGCTGACGCACAGCCACCCCTGTCCTGAGACTCACATCTCTTCGGCTTCAAACATCACTTCTTCTCGGAAGCCCCCCATGATGGTTTCTTTCCCTGCCCAAGTAAAGGCGGTCACATCTTTTTAAGGGTTCTTGTTATCTCCACAACTACAAACCAGCTCATGCTTTTCACCCCTGACTCCGGTGCTTCTCCAGTGTTCCCTGCATGCCAAAGGCAGCTCCACCAGCCAAGTGCACAAGGCGACCCCTGGGAGACACTCTTGATCCCTCCCTTTCCTCCTTTACCTCCAATCACCACCAGCCCTAAGCTTGTCACCTCCTAAGCTTCTATCATATTCACCCTTCTCTCCATCTCCATCATCCTAGTCTGAGCCACCGTCATCTCCTGCCTGGACTGTTGCAGTAGACTCTTAATCATTTACCCCGGTCTTCTGTGGTCCAAGCTTCTCAGAGCAGGCAGGGCAATTGTTTGAATTTTTAATGTGATATTTAAAATAAATAAAATTACTAACGTGATAGATTGGTCTATGTGCCCTTAAGTGCTTCTCCTGCCCCCACTTCTGTCATCCACACGCCTGGCTTCCCGTGGCTCTGATGTTAAACACCAAGACCACTTTCTACCTCGGTGGCCTTGATCCACACCACGCACCCTCTCACTCCCTGCAGAGCCTTTGCTCACGCTGTTCCCTCTGCTTGGAACACGACCTTTCCCCTGTGGATAACCCCTGCTTTCTAACCCTTCTCAGTTTAATGATTACCTTGCAGGGAAGCCTTCCTGAACCTCGGGACTTCATCATCCCGCCCTCATAAAAGTCGTGAGTGCAGGATTTCTTCTCAAGGCCACATCACAGGGTTCCTGGGCCCTGGGCACCCCAGCATCTGTCAGTCCCTTTCTCCACTGACAAATACTTAAAAATAGATTTAAAATTGGTGTCTAGGTAAATGTCATCCACACTGGGTTCATGATTACATACTCATCAGACTCATTTCTTCTTGCTTTTAAAAGAAACTAAAATCAAAACAGGAAGTCATGGGGACTTCCCTGGTGGTCCAGTAGTTAGGAATCTGCCTGACTTTGTGGGGGTCATAGATTGAGCCCCAACTCAACACAACTAGAGAAAGCCTGCACAGAGCAACCAAGACCCAGGCCAGCCAAAAATAAAAATTTTTTTTTAAAAATAGTTAAAACAGAAACACACCGGAAACATTTTCATGGGCCTCTACAAGTCTCATGGGCATGGGCCCCTGTGGTCTCTGACAGACACGTCAGCCCTGCTGGGCCACCCTTCAGAGCACTTGGTGTGGGTGAACGTTTACAGTAAGGGGCATGGTCTTCCTAATGGACAGCAGTCTCCGTTTCTGAGCCCCAGGAGGACAGGGATCACATCTGTCATCTGCACTGGCTCCCCAGCAACGAGGGGCCCACAGGTGTGAACTCAGGAAATATCTGCCAAAGGGGTGAAGAGCGAAGACGGATGGGCTTTCCCCTCTCCCAGATGCTGAGCCGCCAGCAGGCAGGGGGACAGTGTCTTCTCTTGGGTTTGACAAGTGCCACCTGCGGGGAGATGGAGGGCTCTCCCGCGCCGAGGAGCTCCGCTGGCCGCGGCGGGGTCAGCATCCCCAGCTGCTCTGTGGCTAGCGTGCTCTGGGCTAGGGCGTCTGAGCAGGACACGTGGTCTGAGGACAGGAAACCGGCCCTGCTCCTGGATGCCACGCGCAGGGATTCAAGTGGCCAACTTGCAGGCAGTGTTGCCTCTGCACCAGTGACGCCTCTCAGGTGTGTGGCAGGAACCCGAGGTGGCCATTCCCGGCGCGGCCCCCGCCCGTGGGGAAGGGGCCACAGGACCCGGGCCCAGGAGCCCCATCCACCGCAGCTTAACTGCCTGCCTCTCCACCCGCCGTGGGGTGAGAGCTGGGCTTCTAGAGGAGGAGCCTGCCTGCCTGCTTGAACCCCAGGTGCTCGGCGTGATGTGGGGGAGGGGCTTTGGGGGTTGGCCCCCTCCCGGCAGGCTGCAGGGGGACACTCATCAGGATCAGCCCCTGTCCCCACAGGCTGGGGTGCCGGGCTCACCGTTTGCAGCTTCAACTGTCTTCAAGGTCAAGCTTCAAGAACATGACAGGAGCTTGACCCTCGACCCCTCCCCGCTCACTGCTTCCAAGCTGGGATTATTTTTAATTTCGATGACGTTCACTGGGGAGAAGGCGGCCCAACAGAGCCACACGATCCCATGCCACGCCAAGGCTCCTGGCTGGGGCCTGGATCTCAGGAGGCAGCCCAGAGAGAGAGGTGCTGGGGTCACACAAACCCCACCTCGGCCGGCGTGCGCACAGCCTGGAAGCACACTTAACCTTCTGGCAAAGACGAAAGGAGACGACGTGGATGGAGGGCGTGTGGAAGCCTGGCACCCAGCAGCAGTAAATGCTACTTAACTTTCGGGGGGTGGCTCTGCCGCGAAACAAGAGTGCCTCTCCAGTGACAGAGCCCAGGTCAGCTCCTCGAGCCTCAGATTTGCTCTGGAACCCAGTTCCGGGGGGTTCTAAGATCCAGGAAGCCCAGGAAGCAGTCACCAGCCTGGCCGTTGCCAGCACCACTCAGAGGCTGCTGTGCAGCAAGGCAGGGTGGATTTTATCGGCAAGACTGGTCACTGCCGGTGAGCACCAAGACAGCCCACCTCCAGCTTCTGAAGGCTTTGATAACACGCTCTTGGCGAGGGAAGCCTGAATAAAGCAGAATCGAGGCAGGAGGGGGGCAGTGCTCTGGGCCCACACGGGGCCCCGAAAGCCGGCAGGGAGAGGCAGCCAGGCACGTTCAGAGTCTGGAACGAGGAACAAGTCCCCGGTTCCCCGATCCTTCTCCCTCCAAACCTCGTCCTGCACACACATCATTCCACCCACATGCTGCCCCCCACTGCCCTAGAAACAGGAGACCATGTGCACTCCTAAACCAGGTCATCTTGCTGCCCTACACCCCAAAGGGCACACTGCTGAATCTGCATGAGAGTGCAGGAAGTGATGGTGGTATCAGCCCGAGTAGCTGGCAGACGGGGGGGTTGCTACTAGTGACTTAACAGGAAGTTCTGAGGCCCACCAAGAAGTGTCCTCGATATGACGCCAGTGTTTTGAGGTCATCCCTGGCTGAGGAATCTTACAGAAGAGAGGACAGTCTGGTTCACCACCCTCTAAGTTCATCAGACCCTCCACTTGACTACCTGGTGCTCAGCCCCCTGAGCTCACAAGAGGGGAGATCTGGGGAGACAAAACCAACCCCCATCCTTGGCCTTAGGATGCATCCAGCCCAGGGGGAGGCGGGATTCAGACAGCAACAGAAAAAACCACCCAGACCAACCCTGAACTGTTCTGGGGATGAGAGCTCCAGAGCCAGCCCACACCAGCATCCCTGGTGTCCAGTGAGACACTCAGGAATGACTCCAGAAATAGGTGACTGGGTGCTGGCGGATCTAAGAACGGTCCACACCGGGGGCAGCTTGGGGGTAGAAGGACTGTGGCCCGCAGAAGCCCTGGATGGTGGGCTGCCATCTGAGGATGGGGGAAGGCTGCTACTGACGGGGGAGGGAACGGGAGTGTTGCTCCGAGTGTGAGCAGAAGGGAGAAGACGGGGTGGCGGGTGGAAGGGGGCGGGGGTGACTCTGAGTTCACACCAGGATCTTCTGACTCCTGACTCCCGGGACGGCTGCCTGGGACAGAGCCACACCTGAAGACCGGTCTGGTGTCTCTTCTGCCTCTGTCGGCACCCTGGCCCCATGCTTGTGATGAGCTCCGGTGAGAAGGGCGGTCCACATATTTAGACTGCTCATCCCATCCTTTGGAACTTCTTCGCATCTTGCATCAACGTCCCTCCATCAACTTTCCTGGGAATCCCACCTAACCGTGACTCCCAAATGTCCCCAGGCGGTGCCCTTCCGGGATCGGTTGGGACATGGAAATGGCGAAAAGCGTGGGGTCTGGAGGAAGACGAACACAAGATCAACCCTGGGCCTCAGCACTGGTGAGGTACGAACGGCTTCCCTGCGTCTGTGTTCTCCTCTGCAACAAGGGGGCGGGCGGGGAGCGGCTGACACCTCCTGCTGGGACTTTGCGAGGCAGGAGGTGAGATCACGGTGGACACCCACAGGCTCTGGGGGGAAATGATTTACTTTCATTTTTTTTTTTTTTTTTTTTCTGAAAGAGCAATGAACTGATTTGACCAGATTCTTTGTCTTTTGCAGCCAGCAGCTTGGGGGTCGAGCTGACCCAACACTGGATGATCAGAACAGGGCAAGTTTTGCCTTTTCTGCTTGTTCTACAGGTGCTGTGGGCGTTTCTATCAAATTGCAGAAAGGGGGCAAAGCCGGCTTTAAGGAAGCATGGATGGAGGAGGATTCGGACTCCCCCAGGGAGGGGACTGCGGCCAGCCCAGCATGGAGGGGTCTGGATCGTCCACCTGCCCTCTAACCAGAGGGCTCAGGCCAGGAGCTGACTGTGCGGACCTCTTTCAGTGTCCACGGTCAGTGACTTCACAGGGTGACCCTGAAATTAGCCACGCTGGGAGCATTTACACCACAGAAATAGGCCAAAGCTCCCCACGAGGGCCCCTGCACCCACCCAGACCTTGTGAGGGAACACTGTCTAGCCCAGCCCTGCCATCAACGCTAGGAAAACAAAGGGCCAGATCACATGCTCCACCTTCAAAAACTTTTGCGTTGTCAAGGAAAAAGAAATCAGTGGTGCTCATGATTCGTCAGACTCTAGAGCAGCTTTTGTCTCGTGTGGCTACAAAGAAAAGAGCTTTCTGGCCGCATTTGCACCAAGGACCTGTGTCTCTCTCTGTTGTCTGCTCATTTGAGAAGCACATGATGCCTTCCCTGGTATTCACTTAACCTTAAATCGCCAGCATCCTGGGAGTGTACTTGGAACCAGCCCCTTCTTGGGGTGTACCCAGGATGGAGGTGGGATGTGCCCGTGACCAGGAACAGGAGCATCTCTGAAGCCAGGAGCCCGGGCTGGAGTCTCTCCATAATCTACCATTTCCTTATAGGGACTGGAGGCGTCCGGGCATGGTGCTGAAGTTTGATTAGTAATAAGAACATAGCAGCTTAACCTCTAACATTTAGCACTCTCCCCCGATCGAATTACTGATCTCTATCTGGGCTAGCCTCGCTAGTGGCTGCCTGGGAACATTACACCTCTCTAAAAGCCGTCTGTCTCTGTCACCACCTTTGCACAATGGAGCCCACAGCTATTTTTAAAGGACTGTGTCACCTTTCAAGAGAAATTGTGTCAGCTCAGAAGATTGACTTTTTATTTAATGAATTTTTTTTGAATCCCTCATAAGTAGACATTATTTAGATTTTTAATTTCAGGGAGACTATGGAAGAATCAAGAAAAAGAAAATCATCACCAAATGTCTGTGTTGTCTGTGGACAGGGAAGGAATGATATGGAAGGGACATTTGTCCTGGAACTATGGGGTGGCAAGCCTTTGGTAGGATTAAACCAAATAATCACTGTTTTGTTTCATCCTGTCCAAAATCCTGCAAGATAAGGCAGACCAGTCCAATGAAATGGTGGACCCAATAACATCCCCTGGGTTTATAATCCTGGCTGGACTTGGAGAGGACTTTCTAGCTGTGACGCTATGCTTCAGTTTTCTCATCTTCGAAATGGTGATGTTAAAGTGCTTAAAGTCGTCGTCAAGGGACTGAGAGAATTCAGAGAGTTAATCCAAGTTGAGTATTTAGCTGAGTGCCTTGATCACAGTGAGAGGCCCATACGTTTTGGGCTTGTTTTGGAGGGTAGGGTCCACTGACTACTTTTTAGGCTATTTTTTTTAAACTAAAACTCTTGCTCCTATGAATTCTCACTGAAACCTTGCCACATGAGGATTTTCACTTTCCAGAGGAAGAGATGACTGCTTGACTCAATGTATTTTTTATTTATTTTTTTTGTTAGGAGGGTTAAATTAAGATCCTTCAAGTGTCTGACTTGGCACCCAGCACGTGAGAAGTCCTCAGCACACGATAGCTATTTATGACTCATCCTTAAGAGATAGTCTTATCACTAGGAAATCAGGATTTAGAAAAGTTTTGGGTGAACTCTGTACATATGAGACAGCTTGGCTGGGTGGAGACACAATGTTCCCAGAAGACATGTCAAAGGCAGATGAGACGGTCAAGTTAGATGCAGTGAGTAAGACTAGAAACACCACTGATAAGGTTCTGGACTGTGAGCCCTTAAGTTCTCTTCCTTAAAGAAAAAGTGAAACTATCATTCAAAAAGATCCATGTACCCCTGTGTTTATAGCAGGTCTATTCACAACACCCGAGACTCAGAAACGACCTAAATGCCCATTGACAGATGAATGGATAAAGAAGATGTGGTATGTATAAACAAAGGAATACTATTCAGCCATAAAAAGAACGAACTAATGCTATTTGCGGAAATGGATGGAACCAGGGATTAGCATACTAAGTGAAGTAAGTCAGAAAGAGAAAGACAAATACTATACGACATCACCTATATGTGGAATCTAAAATATGATACAAATGAGCCTGTCTATGAACAGAAACGGACTCATGTGCATGGAGTACAGGCTTGAGGTTAACATGGGAGACAGGTTCGGGGGAGAGATGGAGTGAGAGGTTGGGGTTAACAGGTGTAAGCTTTGATATACAGAACAGATAAGCAGCAAGGTCCTCCTCTGTAGTGCAGGAGCTATGTTCAACCCTTCCTTTCCATAAGGGTTTAAACCTTTATGGGGTTTAAAGAATACTCAAAAAAGAAATGTATATTTATGTATAATGGAATCACTTTGCAGTATGGCAGTAGCTAATACAACACTATAAATCAACTATACTTCAGTAAAGAAAAAAAAAATAGCTTAAAGAAACAGTGAAACTGCAAGCTCCTCGGGACACAATACGGGGTGTGGTATCCACCAGGGACCATGCACGTCTCCATCACAGCCTTGCTCTTATAGGAGAGGTCAGTGAAAGGGCGTTTTGCCTGTGAATGCTTTACGTGAAAGCACAGGATTTCTTATATACTCATGTAGCAGATTTTATGACTGCCGGCTTTAACAATCATGTGCGAGAATCATCCAATGACGAATCCTGTTAAGCCATGCAGGGGGACCTTGCGTTCTTGTAAACCCATTCCATCTTCAAGAACTGCCCCCATATCTTCCATTACTGCCCAATTTGGGTCCCTTCATGCAGGGCAGAAGAGGAGCCAAGTTGAGCTTACCTGAGTCCCTATTAACTTAAAAGTCACTTAGGAAGTTCCTGACTCCAGAGAAGATGTTAGGGAGGCCAAGGTCAATGGGCATGAAAGGGGTGGGGGGGCCCTGCCCTCGAGGATGCCTCAGCTCAACAAGGAGACGTGTGACAATAATTATAATACAGTGAGATTGGTACTTGAAAGGTCTGATAATGTCTGTGGGAGCATGGAGGAAGGGCTAGCTCTGCCTAGAGAGCTGGGGGCCAGAGATGGGCTGTCCAGGGTGATGAGATGCTCACTAGATGGAAAGGCATCTGAACTGGGGAATAGAAAGGCTGGAAGCCAAGTGAAAGGTACTGGGGGATGGCAGGCCGTCCAGTCTGGTTCCCTGGACCACCTCTCCTGCTGACAGCTGGACTTCCAGAGTCTAACATGGTATCCAGGATGCAGAGCACCTCAGCAAAGACCTATTAAAGGGAAAAAAAACTAGTTGAGTGGGCTCTTCATGACACTTTGAGATTAGGAGTCCTGGCTCTCCTTTTAGAAATGCTACAAGCTTTGAGTCTACTGCAGTTTTCTTTTCTTTTTTTTTTTAATTGGTGGGAAAGGGTGACAATCACAGCTGGGTTCACTCGTTTGTCTGTGGGTTATTTGGGAGCTGGTTGATGGAGG